TTCCTATCACCCAGGAAATTACAAAGGTTTCTTTTCAGGTGCCCTGTATCAGGACCAAGGGTGTGTGTGGGGGTGGGGGGCAGAGGAGGGGGTCAAAGACCAAACAGCACAAAAGATGCTCCTAGTGCTCTTATCACTTAAGAAATTACAAGGGTTTTAGGACATCTGTCCAAGGAACTGGGCAGAGACCAATATATATTTTTTATTACCTCACACATACAACCATCAAAGATTTGGAGAGAGTTCAACCCAAGAACACCAAAATGGAAAGTATGAAAAGAATCTACAATTCTTAGACAAAAGAGAGATGAGGTAGGGAAAAGCTGTAAATTGAAGTAGGAAGATCTCTGGCTTATGTGTGAATTAGCCTTAATAAAATAATTCTTGTTGGACTCAGAGTTTCCTGAGCCCAGAATTCCCAGGTGCTCATCTAGGAGTCACCAACCTTTAGTGAGTAACAGAGAGCTGCCCATACAATTGAGTTCAAAACTTTATATCAGGGAAGCTGTAAAGTCTAGAAGGCTTCAAACCTAATTCCTGAATAACCCCTATCTACACTAATAAAAGAGAAACATGGTAATTAGCGTACGACCGCTACCCTTTTCATTGGCTAATCAGTGAGTATATGCAAATTAACTGTCAGCCAAGATGGCGGCCGGCAGCCAGGCAGCTGGAAGCGAACATGCACTGCTTGCTGCAGTGAAGGAGGACTCCAATGTTCCCCGCCTGCGCTGCCGGCCTCTGAGCTGGCAGTTTGAAACTTTGTAACAAATATAGAAGGCTAAACAAAAGCCCGGGATCTCAGAGCTGAAGTTATACATTGTTTCGATAATAGAACGGCAAACAAACCAGATACGAAGCCTCAGAGCTAGAGCCAGAGTTAAAGCTGGCCCAGAATAAAATAAAAAAGAGAAAAAAAAGGAGCGGTTGGGAGCTTTAGTCAACAACCGCCAGCCTGAAAGCAGCCCTCAGCCCCTCACCCAGTCTGGCCAGGCACCCCAGTGGGGACCCCCACCCTGAAGGGTGTGTGACCAGCTGCAAACAGCCATCATCCCCTCATCCAGGCTGGCCAGGCACCCCAGTGGGACCCCCACCCTGATCCAGGA